CGAAGTAGTCCGTCCACTCCGACACGTCTTCCACATTGCATCTGGACGCTGGCTTACCGTTCAGACGTTGCCATAGGGTCTTCGCATCCCGTTTGCATGTAGCTATGAAGGACTCCAAGGCTTGCAGCCGGTGATCCCGTCACGTGTTACGCTTAGCACGATTAAACTGACGATGTAACTCTTGAAAACTCGTATGCCCCACAGCCGGGGCAGCACACCCCCACTTCATCACATCAGACCGATACTGCAGCATGGCCTGCTTAGCCGCAGCACACTCATCATTCCACCACGCCGCCTTGCCGTTGGAAACCGGCCCGGGCCTGAAGGCATCACCGAAGCAACCCAGCAAAATCCGTTCGATAGTGTCCACCGCCTGGGTGACACCAATCTGGCCAGCACGCAGGGAATCCACAACCGCCCGGACACCAACCACAGGGGGGGCCTGTGGGTTGTAGAACATGTCTGTGTACCTGTGTGCCTCAGAGACAAGAAACGTCGGCTTGGGTTTACGCGTGGGTGGCCGGTCCGGCCTCCAAACCGACGCGAGGTGGAGGGACACGGGGTTATGATCACTCAAGCGGCGTTCTTCACGGTAAAAATATTGCTGTGGCAGGACACGGAAGGAACGCACGCACAGGTACAAAGAAGGGGACGCAAGCACAAGGTCAATCATGCTGCCTCCCCCCTGGCTGGACTCGTATGTGAGCCTGCCCTCAGTGTCACCCGGTGCCCGCCCATTGAGAATGACAACCTCTGAAACCCGGCACAACTCGAGCAGTTTACGTCCAAACGCATTATGCTCCTGATCTAGCGACCGGCGGGGCACACCCAGCAGTGCTCTGTATGCCTCGCCGTCCACAAAAGGGCACCCGACCTCCTCTCCTAAATCGTCAAGGTAGTCTAGGTCCGGGATGTCGGAGAGGTGGTTGGGCAGCCCCCCCACGCGCGCGTTCCAATCCCCCAGAAGCAGGATCCTCTCACCCGACTGGCGGAGGGCGCCCACGACGGTGGCCAGATGATCAAACACTTCGTCCGCTGCTTGTCTGTCAGACTCGTGTGCCCTCAGGGACACGTGGTGTACTACCGACGCCCTGGGGGAGACGTAGCATGCACCCACCAGGGTGCTATCCTGACCTGTTTGCTTGGCGCCCAAATGCAACCAAATAGACTCGCAGCCCGCAATATACGTGTCAACCCTCAACAAAGTGACATCCCGGGCAATCGCGTCCCGGATATAAACAGACACGCCCCCGTGCAGCCGGCCCGTCTGGGGCCCGGCTCCGCCTCTACAGGCTCGCTCAGCTACATGCAGTTGAAACCCTGGCAGGGCCAGGGCCTTGGCCAGCTTCCCGGCCTGCGCCGAACAGTGTGTTTCCGTAAATACTAGCACATCGTGGTCCTGGGCAATGCGGAGGAAAGATGGGTCGGTAAGCTTAGCTACCGACAAACCCCACACGTTCCAAAGCAAGACCCTGATGTCTTTAGCCTCACGACTCATAGCACTCTAGGTGGCACTCCCCTCGCCAGCACCCTCTGTGGTCACGCGTCCATCACTTGTGCCCACCGCAGCCCCGTTCCCGGCCGGGGGCTGGGGCGGGGGGGGCGGAACGTCGGACACGTCGTACTTGGAGACCATGTAGTACATGCCGTCGGTGCGCTGGTACTCGATGTACGGGCCCAGCCACTTGGGTTTGCGGCCCTCGTCACGCAGCCGCAGGAACTGCGCGTTCCGAGCCTGCTTGAGCTGACAACCTGCCGGGGTGAGGTCATCCCGGAAGATGATGCCGATGGCCTTAAGGGCCTGGCTGTGTCGGAAAAGCATGCCGCGGACACGGGGGGTGACGCCGATGGTGATGTTGTACGTTGGGGCCGCCTGGTTGGGTCGTGGCTTCTCAGTGCGTACTTCGACGCTGAGGAAGGAGGCCTGGAGGCTTCCTCCACTGGCATCGGAGACGACTTGGGTGATGGCTTCCGCTGCTTGCTTAGCGGTCGCGAGAGCCGGGACGCCAAACGCGATCAGGGAGCCGGAATCGTAGTAGGCAGATTTGCCGGTCAAGTTCCTACGCTGTTTAGACCCGGTGTGGTCGGTCGCAAACGTAGGGGCCCCCGCGAGCTGAGACTGCACAGTTTCGATGATGAACTGCGCGGCCCGAACTTCGAACTGCTTGATTTCGGTCTCCACCTTTTTGGTAATCATTTCAGGGATATTCTTTTCCAGCGAGTCAACACGAGCAGCCAGCGCATCTGTCTTGCTATGCAAGGAGTCGAAGGATGCCTTGGTCTGTGTAGCATGGGTCTGAAGCAGCTTGTAAATCTCATCTAAAGATGGTTCTTTCTGAGTGGATCGCGTCATGGAGTCGCCTACTGCCGCCTCCTCAAGGGCAGCGGCCGAAGGCGTAGGGTACTCCTTGCCGGACCTCAGAACCCGCTTAGACGGGCTTTGTGGGCTAATGCCAGCTGTTCTACAGATTCTGGATCGCTGGCAAAGCCAATGCGAGGGGCTTAGCTGTGATGTTGCCAGGGTGGTGTGGTAGGCGTGAACTATTGTAAACTATTGTAAACTATTGTGTTATGTTTATGTTAATGTTATTGCTATAGAGGCTCTGGACCGGACGGGTGTAAGATGTGCGTTGGCCTTACGAATTCGTAAGAAAGGAGAAAAACGCGAAGAGAATACGTGAATTCATATGCATAAGTCATGGACGGCGACGTTTTACGCTCTGAATGGTGATTCCTGCTTTTGTGTTCGGTTCTGGATCTCACATGTTGTCGTACCGGAAAATTTTCTTCCTGTACGGCGGTCACAGGAGGTATCTACGTCGACTTGTATGCAAACCAGTTACAGCTAGGGATCATATGGCGGTTGCATTGCATGTTTCTTGGCCGCAGCCAGCAGCAAACTCAAATGGAGTTGGGCCATTTGCCCAGAGGCTGCCGCATGGACGACAAGCCAGGCGAACGCAGCTGATGTTCATGAGTGCCCTTTACATTCTAAGCATAAAAGTTGGGACTACCCCTAATGTACATTCTGAGTTTAAGTACTACTGGTAAGGCGCGACCAATACTCTCGTGAGGTCCTGGGATCGAGCCACGGTAACAAAGTGCGCAGTTTCAAGCCCTTAGACGTTACAAGGTTATCAATGCAATAAGAGAGGTAGTGTGGATTTCGCGCGATCGATTAGAGCGATGACTTGGGTATGTAAAGGGTGACTCGAAAGGAAAGCCTATTATGCGATGCCTGTACAGGTCCTATTATAGGGAATTATGTATACTTGCGTCTATATAGGCAATGTCGTTTACAACATCAAGTGTATACATATCTGTATACCGCATAGCCTAAACATCCCTTGCTACAGGTTATGATGTAAAAATGTACTTATAATACTATGCCATACATGATCGTATATTAGGCCATCACTTACACATGCGCCTCTTATGCCTAAGCCTTTAAGTTTCGTAGAATACGTGTAGAGCTAAATGGCCTATATACCTTTCACCTAATTTCCTGAATATGCCGCCTATACAATGCCCGAAAAAATCCAGACGGAGCTCAGCCTCGAGGCTGAGGCTGGCCGGGTCAAGCACGATTTCTGTGAAACACTATACACCGCGTCCTGCTCCCGTTGTTATACTAAGTATGGTAGTCTTTTTTGTCCTCCTAACTTTGAACTGGCCATGACGACAGCCAAGTCCACACATAGCCCTTCTGTGCCCACCTTTGCTTGGCCAGGACAAATATGGCCATATGGCCAGGACATCTATATACAACACCATGAACCCAGGTGTAAAATACTGTGCTGCGCTCATGCATGCCCGCACGCCCTTTGTGTTAGTATCGTCTATATCTATTCATCTATGGAATTGCATGTACATTTGCATTTGTCTAATGTCGGAACAGCTACCGGCAGGGGACCTATCACATACAAGTGCACTTGCTTACGAGTGGACACCTTCCATCTTATATGGCAGGTCGAAACGGAAGGTTGGCCACCACGCTGGGTAATTTTGCTCAATCCAAGGTATGTAATTACGTCCACACCCCGAGGTGTGCGCCTGAGGGCACCTGAGAGGTGCTTGAGGGCGGGCTGCTTCGTCGAGCCTCATGCTAGCTGTCCGCTAGTGCTAGTGGACAGTGTCGGGACACTGGCTGCAGGTGTATAGCCGGGGGTCCGCTGGGTTCGAGACCAAAATGTAACGACGCAAGGCCCATCTGAGCATCCCGGGTTACGCCTTTGCTGTGTTACAAATAGTGACTCCGAAGCCTTTCTTCCCTCCCTCCCATCCCCTTGATACACTCCGGGGTTCTGGTCCTGGAGTAAACTTTACTTTTCCTGCTAAATATTGGCAACGTCTATGTTTTCCTTCTCTTCTGTTATCGCTAGGAAACCCGTTCTTTAAGGATGAAAATTTGTGGCCGGAAGGTTGCAGATATAATTCCGGGTTGGGACCTGTATATGTAGCGGGTTAGGGAGTGCACAAATTCTTGCTTTGGCGTGCGCTCTGAAATGATCGCAGCGGCCCCTGCAGGGGCTCATGCGGTATGCATATGCCTTGCCCGGCCATCGATCGAATCGGTAGAGTGTGCGGAAATGTGGGTCGGCGGGCAGCTCCCCTACCTGTGACTCACCACCGCATCCCCAACTTATTATTCGTGGTACGCGATGATGATAGTGATGAGCGTGGGGTTGACACCTGATCCTGCTTTATCGCGACAAAGCAGGATCAGTGTCATACCTGCATTAGTAGACATGAAGATATGGACTACACAACACCAGACAGGCGTCTCCAGCGATTCATACCATGTATGGCTTCACCATCGCTGGTTTACGTACTCTTATCCGTGGTATACGAAATAAACCGAACCATTTCTGCTCTTCCTCATTCATAAATACATACAGAACACTCTGGTTGTGGGTGCAGCAGCAAGCTTAGCCCCTGTTAAGACCCCGGCCTCACCACCGGCTGGTGATGGATGGTTCTTCGGTGGTAATGATCCCATCATGCAACAAGATAAGAAGCTTATGTTGACATCGAAGTATTATGATGGAGACGTTATTACTGAAGTGGTAAGTGACTGTTTATTTCGTCATATGGGCGCATTGGTAGTCTATATATGGTCCAAACAATAACTCCCTTGCCTGCCGTCACCTGCTGCTGTCTGCTCCTCGGACTGCTCTGCATGGATGCATACATGCATGCATGGGTGCACATACATGTATACATCGATAAAAATAGACTTGCTATACGCACGCACACACACATGTGTCTGGTAGCAGCAGTGTTGGCCACTATCTAGCTTCGTGGGGGATGCAATGTACACTGCTTGGAGTGATGTGGAGCAAGGGAGTGACAGTGGAGTCTGGTTGTTCTGATCCGCATTTGCTGGTCTTTCACACATTGTCATCGATGCATGCATTCAACTAATTATTGCATTTACATTCCCCCTTTTGTAGATCGTCCAAATTACTTGCCATGCATTGTTGTAATGATACATAGCCATAACCCCCCACGGGGGGCATATATGGGCCCTCCGGCTTTTATGGACCGACCACCCCTGCACCTGTTTGGAACTTGTGATCTGTAACTTTAGTATAGGAGCATGCATGCAGGCAGAAGCAAGTAGGGTCAGGTACAGTAGCAATTCCATTGCAATTGTTGACAACAATGTTTTTGCATGCAGAGCAAATAGATATGCATATGGACAGGACACACAGTGCATGCACAGTGTTGTTGCACTCGTTAGAACAAAGAAGAGGCGATTCAACACTAACATGACCGCAACGAACCTTCCTTTGCGTACATGCAATGCATGTACACGTGCATTCGTCCATCATGCGATGGACACTGGCTGCGTTCAGCTTTGGGTTTCTTTCGCTCCGTCCTACAAAGACGAGTGGAATGTACTTCTGGAAAATGAGGTTCGTTCACGTATGTATGCTTCGCTGTCCATAACTATATATTTTGTCTACGGTTTGCCTATTGTTATTACAGATCTCTCTTGTCCTCAGTATACAATTAATAATTAATAGCGTATAAATGCTGCAAGCAATAGCCGCGCACGCACGCACTCCGCCAAACGCTGAACTCCAGAAACCTGCTGCAGCAGGTATATAGCTAGCTATTATAGTGACCAGGCTGACCTACCTGCGTGTACATGTAGTGGCAAACAGAGAAGCAGTTTGCAAAACAATGCTATAGTACCAAACTGGCCTTACACTAGCGCTAGCTCGGTGGTGGCCGCTAGATGCATCTGTCCATAAAATGGAGGACTGAGTGTCGATCGATGAACCATAAACCTAGTTTCGGGCCTATCTGTGTATTATACTGTGGCACTGATGAAAGGACCAATAGGAAATGATGTTTGTACGGACGTCTATCAGCGCGTTGTCGTCCGCCCTCCCAACATGGGGCCCTTCCTTGCGAACATCTGGCAGGCCCCCCACGTCGTTCAGCCGGGCACCTCAAGCCCGGCCTGGCGGAAGAGTCTGCCGTGGCTGGGTGTATGTAGTAGGTGGTACACAGTACGGCACACATATCAACTAGAAATACGCGCTCGAAGCGCTTGACCAGCATCTCGGGAGGCCTTTTCAGCGGCCGGCTACTGCAGTGTAGTACTAGCTGGCCACTGGAAATGCTTCTCAAAATGCTGGCGGAGCGTTTTAGCGCATATTTATAGATGATATGCATGTGTGCCGTACTATGTACAGCTACTACACGGGGACACAGCTCGCTCGTCTTAACATGGCCAAGCGGCTATAGCTAATGCATATGGGAACAATCGAAGAGCGATGTTAAGGAAATGTATAGGAGCCACGAGGCTTCGGGTTCGGCCCTGATTTGGTCCGCTCTAATTGAGCCGCTTGGCAATCAATATCAATCAATATCTGCATCCTGCTGCCCAGGCAAGTTGCTCACCGTGCACGCATGCCGGCGACCTCCGTCTGTAAAATTCCGTACCCTCTATAGATTGTGACCTTCGTAGATTAGGAAGGGACCGTCTCTACCTATTGGAGTAGGGCACAGACCACATTAACATTAACATTGTGCGCACGTCATCAGAATATACGTTGTTGCTCTCGTTGTCCTCAGCTGTTACATCGTGATTACACTAGTGTAATACTACAACCGCCCTGGCAGCGATGCAACTGGCAGCAAACCTAACCAAACTCAATCCGAACAGCCCGCTAGCCGCTAGCTAGCTAGCTGTCAATGACGCCGCTAAAGCTTCCACTCGCTGCCTTGAAGAGCGTTCCTGCACCACCCCGCGCGCTGATCGACTTGGCATCCCCTCCCCTTTTTGGTCTCCCCGCAATCCGTCGGCTCAACCCTATATGGCTGCCATGCCATGCCTCACAATCCCTTATTTCAATTGTAACAGTGGCCGGCCGTCCAGCTACGGCTGTCCAGGGCCGACCGCCCTGCGTACGCATAATGACGCTGCCGCCGAAAAGCGCCACCAATTGCGGTCCGAACAAATCAAATCGTATCACTTATGAAGTCGTGGGGAAACGTTTTTGCGCGGCGGAAATGGGCACAGCCGCGGAGCACAGTGCTCTGCCATCCAGCCCGCAATGAGGGCCATCCAGCCCGTGACGACACCGATTAACATTTCCAGTTGGAAGTGCCCCAGGTCAACAATTATGGCTGAAGTAATGGGAGGCCAGCATGCGAGTACCCGCTGGGCCAAGGCTATAATCGGCTATAGTGCGAGGGTTGGCTTTGCCGGCAACAAACACCAACTGAACTGAAAGACTTTGGTGGGATTCAACACGTCATTGCAGATAAGCGCAGCCAGAGGAAGCCGGGCCTGGGTGCGAGATGTCGCAAGGTAGCATGAGTCGATGGGGTGCGATAATCCACACAGACAGGGCAAGCACATCCAAACTGCAGGAGGTCTTGTTGTAGTGCACCACCTGCGTTTGTGCTGCAACCAGCTGCGGTTGTGTGAAAGATGTAGCTGTCCTGGGCAACCCGCGGGCCGGGCAAGAGTGGCCTGCAGCTCCCCCGGAAAACGGCGTTCAGTACAGAATTGCAAATAGATCAATGCTGTCAAATAGCCGCAGCCGCAGCGCGTCCGGAAGGACCGGCGACGGATAGAATTTGCGAGGGCGGGCCTTACGGATGAAAGCAGCTCATTTTTATACTCGAGAGCCGCGGGTTAAATGGATGGAAGAGACGCCGGGTGCTTTCGTAGATACGTAATAGTTCTTACATTAATTACTTTTCATTTTTTACAAATGTTAATTTATTTCTTTATCCTAGTAATGAGCAATCTTAGCAATTAAAGGCGCGGCGGATCAAACAGACCTCGTCTATCTCAGCATCATCACTACTGCGAGGTATAGAGTTTGGATGTTGCAGGCAGTTCTTTCTCTCTTGTATATGGCTCTCTATGTGCATGTGCCCCAGCCATGTCACACACCTGGTGCTATATGGTGATAACATCGTATCCTTGCTTTAAATCTGTTTGCAGGTGCTGGTCGTTTTACCCAGAACATCACAATTTTCAGATAATGCCCTGCCAGTCGTAGATGAAAGTGGCTGCAGTGCATTAGAGTCAGCTTCTGGCAAGACGTCCAGCTGGAAATACGAAGATCGAGCGAATGTCCTACTTGTGGATCTGGGCATGAAGTACCCGAAAACCTGCACGTATACAATCATCGCGAGAAATGTTAAGAACTCCAATGCTGCAGGGGTCATCTACATCTTACCAAGCGAGGGTTTCGTATCTGACTTCTCTAATATCTTAACAAATACACCCCAAAGCATTCCTTATGGATTTATCACAAAGGTAAGGGTTTACTCCTGGTGCAAGATCTAGAAGTGATGACCCAATAACACGTGTGCATGCATATATTACTAGGGTTTGGCACCACTGGTAAGGCGCGACCATTGCCCCCGGGAGATCCCGGGATCGATACCCCTTAGGGTCAAAAGTCCTTCCGATGGTGGAAGGCATTGCGCCCCTAGTTGATGGACGGTGGTGACCTGGGATAAAGTTAACCTGCGAGCCGACCAGGAATGGAGTTGCGCCGCTGTCGACCCGGCAGATTCCGTTGGATGCTGGTGGTGGGTGCGGAACCTGAGCGATCCACTGAGAAGTTGACTAGGGTGACTGGATGAGGGTGCCCCGAAATACCGGGGAAGGCAGGGTTTCGCAGGGTAGCTGCCACGGGCGAAGATACACCCCCCTGTTTCACACATCATATATGCCAGGGATTCGACTTTTCTGTAACAAGGTTTTGATGGTCTACATCGGCCCCTGGTATGCTAGGCATGATGAATAAGGTCCAGCTCTATTATGATTTGTGCAATGGGGGGATACAGCTTCACCTGTGGCCACGAGCCTGTAAGTCCATCCCTGCTAATGTTTCCTAGGGAGGCACCTTCAACCTTTTCACACAACATGCCGACTTTTGCGAACGAAGTCCGTCCTGTGACTTTCTCGGGTTCAGCACCCACTACCATCGCCCGCATGCATCCAGCGGAATCTGGCTGGATCACGCAGCGGCGGCAACAACTCCCCTCCTTGTCGGTCGGCTCGCAGGTCTATCTCTAGCGATCGCTATAACTGGGATCTGTCCTTCATGTCCCTCGGCATGCGCATGCATCTATCTACCCTTTTAGTTACAGTCGAGGGATGATTTTCCCAAAACAATCCCGGATGCAGTATCCCGGGGGGCATATATCATCACCACGGGATCTGCATCCGCCGATCGGTGGTACTTTCCTGAAGTCGTGATATAAGCAGCACTGGAATCCTCCAACGACCACATGGTATACATGTTTGCTGTGTTTGGAGCTGACCATTGTATATAGAAGGCAGGGCACGATCTGAGACCATGAAGAAAACGAACATGGCATGATGAAGGTTATGAGTGTGCGTGGTATGTTTATATACCTGCATGTATGCACCGCCGCCGCCTGATGATGGTCATACAGGCTCAAGGTGTCTGGGTGAAGGATAACATGCTGAAGATGAGAAACCATGAATCATCCCGTCTCCATTATGTTACGGTAAGTAATAATATCCAGCCGTGTTTTCATTTTTATGACATGGAACCCTCAGCCCCTTAGCCACCATAGTCCATTCATATTGGTTAACCGTTTGGTAATCCATCCCCTAAAAAGCTTAGATACGTACATACGTGTGGATCGCAGAGACCACAAGCTCATAAGGCCAGCAGAGCGTAAGAATCCACACAAATAGCGAGGAGCAGTCTGTGCGTGTTTAGGTAGGCCGCTGGTGTTTCTTCATCATGTGTTCTTACCTGCTTTGCATGCCGACGTGGATTGCATGCATGGCACTGACAGGCGACTGCACATTCGGGCCCGGGGTGTCAGGAAACCAAAGTAGGGCTACATAGGGCCCAGCGGCACCCTGCGGCGGCATACATGTCAACTATGTGTGTGTTACCGCAGCGCTAGTGCTGCTGCCGCACGTGACACGAGTAGTGATGTGCCAAGCCACCACCGCTTGCTTATTAATAAGTATGTCCCATATATAAATATTTATGGAACATAAATGTAGTTGAGTTGGGTGTCACTGTTGCAAACTTGATTGCTCTTAAGGATGATAATCGCAGGCATTGCAGGTGAAGCTTCACCTGCAATGCCTGCGATTATCATCCTTTTTTATTGCAAGCTACGTCCGTTAATTGCAAACTCTAACATACATACAAGGGTGCATATGAATACAGTATGTACCTGCCCCTGCCCTTTCTTTGCACATGAGTGCATGTGTGCCCTTGTTTGAATTATGGGTTGTTGGGGCTTTGTTCCTTCCCATGCATCCATCGCCAACAGGAGGACATTCCGGTAGGAAAAATCCTTGCTGCGTTCTCTAGCTACGGGCCGACCACCCGCTACAAGCCAGACATTGTTGCCCCGGGAGAGCTTGTCCTTACAGCGAAAGGTGGGACCGATTGGTGGGTCAATCATGAGGGTGGGTGTGCGCACATGTATGTTGCCCAATTGCATAGGAGATGGGAAGTCCAATTACGTTGGATGAATATATACATATGGATCCCGCTCTCACACATGTACACCCCGGGATCAGGACCAGTCAAGGTCGAATATTCTTCCTATGGTACCACCGCTGGAAGGTAATGGTTCCCCTAGTTGATGGACGGTGGTGACCTGGGATAAAGTTGACTCGCGAGCCGACCAGGAACGGAGTCGAACCGCTGTTAATCCGGCAGATTCCGTTGGATGCCGGTGGTGGGTGCGGAACCTGAGCGATGCACTGAGAAGTCGACTAGGGTGACTAGATGAGGCTGCCCCCTAACACCGGGGAAGGCAGGATCTGCCGGGTAGTGGCCGCAGGGTGAAGATACGGGCCCCCTGTCCCGCACATCATATGTACATGTACTGCCGCGCCGATGCGTGCACTACAGACATTCCCCATCACAATGCAAGGCAGGCTAGGATTACTGATCAATAAAATAGACCTTGATGTCCTCTATGCTTTCATGAATATTGCTCGCTTTCATTGGTCTGCGGTACATATATGCGTTCGAATTGTACGTACATGCATAAAGTATATACTTATGACGGAAAACGGTAAGCATGTAATAAATGGCATATCTCTACTTCCCCTAGGCCCCACTCAACGTGTTAATCCTCCCCCCCGCTTTACGATCCTGCAGCTGGTGAGTATTGCTCGGACACAGCAAGCACAGGGACCTCTGTGGCCACCGCATTGGTAAGGATGAACCAACTAGTGCTGTTGTCCAGCTTGCATATTGCTGGCTGGCTGCTTGTTGAAAGGTTGCAAGCAGTCGCATGGAGAGGCGGTACGCTGCAGCAGTACTGCTCTTTGCTTGTACGGAACCCTAGCACGATGTGTGGTGGGATGAGTTACCAGCAGGTTGCGGTTGTGATCGTCCCCGGGGTACCACCCGGCCGGGGTGTGGGTGGTGGGATGCGGTGGCAATATCAAATGCGAACTAGTGACTTCAAGTATTGGCGTATTTGCGTGCATGCTTGGTTGGTTTTGTTTGAATGAGTGGGTGCAGCATGCGCATGTGCAGCAGTGTATCCGCGGAGGGTCCTTACTACGTCTTGCTCGCATACTTACTTGCATGCATGCATGCACCATATGGTGCCGGCCATTGGCGAGTGTGCATCATTGCTGTGCCTGTCTTTCCGTGGCTGCCAGCACAATAATCATGTTGCTTATATGCCGTGCTGTATGTGGTGGGCCGGCTAAATATACTACTGGTCGACCCGCCACCGCCAATGTCAGCCAACTGCCTGCAGCTGTGTGCCTGACCGTAGTATGGCTAGGCGCTGAAAAGGCCTATCGAGATGCCGGCAGAGCGCGATAGCGGGTATTTATAGACGATGTGTGCGCTGTGTACTCTTCACACGGCAGCTATGCACTGCACTGGCCCACTGCACTGGCCCACTGCACTGTTCTTTAAGCTAACATCTGACCAGCGGATCTGTAAAGAACTAAAAAGATTGTCAAAATGTGCTTGCAGGTGTCTGGGCATATTGCCTTGGCGTCCCAGTATTTTAGGTAAGTGCCGATTATAGCTTATTATTATGTAGTTAATAATAATGATGGATCTTACTGGGATCGAGACCTGTCAGGGTCGAAAATCCTTCCGATGGTGGAAGGTAAAAGTGCCCTTAGTCGATGGGCGGTGGTGACCTGGGATAAAGTTATAACCTGCTAGCTTACCAGGAATGGAGTTGAGCCGCCGTCGATCCGGCAGATTCCGTTGGATGCCGATGATGGGTACTGCACCTGTGCTAAGATCGACTGAGAAGTCGGCTAGGGTGACCAGATGAGAGTGCCCCGAAATACCGGGGAAGGCAAGGTTTCGCCGGGTAGCTGCCATGGGTGAAGATATGCCCCCCTGTCCCACACATCATCATATGTATGTACAGCGATGGATTTTACCCCCGGGGCTCGAAGGACTTCGATGAATCCACACCGTTGTCTGCAAACGGGCCGCTACTGAAGGTAAGTGTAAATAATGATGTAGTACCGCGCGCGAGGGTGATGTGAATTTCGTGAATTCCAGGTGCATGCCACAGGGCGGCAATCCTACGGGGCGGGGTCCCTCGAACATTCTTGCTGCGGGGGCCCCGCCCCAAGAGTTTACATATGATCAAAATTCTACAGACGAGGGATGTTCGTGTGCATCAGTTTGTGATGGGCCGCTTGCCTTGCATTATCCTCGCATTAGTAATCTGAAGCCAACCCTGCAGTTAGGTAGGTCTGCTAAGTAGCGCTACTTTACATTGCAATAGGCAACTGTCCCTATCGGGACATGTGGATTTGTGTCTGTGCTCCACCTAAGTGCGATGTACACACGGCTGGCGGGGTTGTGTGCCTATCTACGTGGCCACATGGCTGTTGGTTGACACGCTGCATGACATGCTGCAGGCGATTGCTATAGTCGGAGCCGAGTCACTCAAGGTAGGTAAATAATATGTGGTATGGTGGCCAGGTAAGGCGGTGCACCCAGGGTGGGGAGGAACCTAGATAGGCCTGCAACCGCCGCTTCTCATTCCCCCTTGCGCACGGCGCTATTCCAATCAGTAATGTACTGTAGGTCAACACATGCATGCATGCTGGGGCTGGGGCTGGGGCTGTGCCGCGACCCGGAAATTGGATGGCTTGACCACCAGTCAAATGTGGGAATCAGTAAACATTCATATATGCCTGTTGCCTATTGGCTATATGTGTCTTTTGTGCATGTGATCCCGTATCGGGCGTTTTTCTTGTCTTGACATTCCCTACTACGCACATTGGCGCTCGGTGGCAACTAATAACTAACTGCCTGCAGGGCGGAATAGCAAGGGCTTCAGGAGAGTACCTGGGCTCACCTCCGGATAGATACCAGGTAGGTATCGTACATACATACACCAGCATTACATTTATCAGTATCCCGCCGGGCACTCATCACGCAAAGTGTGCCCGGCCGAACAGACCTGTCGAGTTGGCATCGAGGTATGATGTATGCATGTGCATGAGAGGACGGGTAGGACGAGACCGCTTTTAACGAACATGCAACCGCCGCCACCACACATACTGGTGCTCTACATACTGGTTGCATTCAGGGTTGCATCCTTTGTCCACATTGCTGGTTAGGAGTCGTGATTGGCTCTGTCGCTGTGCCTGTATGTTTGTTCGTACGCTCCCCCTCTCAGGGGTGGGGACACCTAAATCTTGCGAGCTCTCTGCCACTATGGACCAAGGAGACCAATGCCGAGAACCTTCAGCGTATTCAAGTCGTGAACGGCGCTGCTATCTATGATGGAGAGACATACTACATATGCGGGATCAATGCAACAGGCGCCGGGTACGGAAGCCGGCAGATACTATATATATATACATATATATACATATATATATGTATATACAAGAATAGCAAGAATTGTGTAAACCATATATATACATGTATATATACCACACTACTATACTTCGCCATACGAACTGTAAGTCCAAGGCGGCGGGTCCAGCCGTCTAGGACCCCTCCTCATCCATTCACCCGAACAACCGAAGAGACGGAGGGTTCGGCAATCGCCACCAATCCAGCGTGCGAATCTGGTCCATCAACTGCGACCTCAACTCCACATCTCAGCAGCTAGCCATAATCTCGCGCTCCCGACTAATTCGGGGGTCTCCCCAGGAATCGAACCCAGGACCTTAAACCGCGAATCGCATATGTATATATATATATATATACATATATATATATATATACATATATATATACATATATATGTATATATATATGTATATATATATATATATGTATATATATATATATATACATATGCGATTCGCGGTTTAAGGTCCTGGGTTCGATTCCTGGGGAGACCCCCGAATTAGTCGGGAGCGCGAGATTATGGCTAGCTGCTGAGATGTGGAGTTGAGGTCGCAGTTGATGGACCAGATTCGCACGCTGGATTGGTGGCGATTGCCGAACCCTCCGTCTCTTCGGTTGTTCGGGTGAATGGATGAGGAGGGGTCCTAGACGCCTGGACCCGCCGCCTTGGACTTACAGTTCG